AAAGTTAGTTTTTCTCCCCCCACGGTGTTAACTCGGGGTACTTCACCGAGGGTCTCGTTGGCCACTTTCTCTTGTTATACTTTCCTGTATGAAGAAGCCCTAATACGTACAATAAACCAGTTGTGAAGTAAATTCGCACATCAGTGACCCTTTATTTTACCTGGAATAAATTGGTTTTCTACAGAAAAGAATAGTCCTGGCTGCCATGGCTCAGTGGATTGAGTGCCAGCCTGTGAACCAGAAGGTCACCTGTTTGATTCCCAGTCAGGGCACATGCCTGGGTTGTGGGCCAGGTCCCCAGTTGCCCCCAGTAGGGGGTGCACAAGAGCCAACCACACACTGATGTTTCTCTCCCTCTTTCTCTCTCCCTTCCCCCTCTCTAAAAATAAGCAAAATCTTAAAAAAAAAAAAAAGAATGAAAGATTACTGATGAATACACATGCATGCATTTAACAGAGATCGTCTGTTAAAGGGAATAGGGGTGGTTTGAAATGCGTTCTTTGAGTTCTCTGTGTTTCCTCATTCTCCTATAACGAACACACCTCACTTTGCAGTCGGGGAAAGTCTGCGTGTTGTTGGGTGGGGCACACGCTGCGCTTGCACGACTCGTGTGAAAACGAGAGGGATGCCCCTGTTTAGCCTGACGGTTGCTGGACAAACAAACGCTCGCTTTCATTTTCCCAAATACATCGAACCCACTAATCACTGCTTCTAGAAAGATCAAGCTCCCTGGGCAGACGGAGCCTGGATTGCAGTTATTCCCATTTGTCTGTCCCAGCAAGGGTCCCACAGCTTAGATTCCCGAGGGGCCGGTGGCGAAGACCCTCTGTTCTGAAAACCAAAGAGCCCTTTCACCTTCTCATCCTTGCCGGGGGGTGGGGGGTTAACTCACTCTTTGGAGACCCGTGTTGCCTCACAAATAAGCACTGCCTCTGCCTGGATTCCTGCACAGGAGCTGGGCGGAGACTCGGTCCCCCGTTCTGGAGCCCGCAGACCCAAGGGGGTTCCACCGGGGAGTGACTGCGGCTGGTGTTACCAGTCAGTGGCGTCATGAGATCAGTTTCCAGTTCTGACAGCACATCCTCTCACGTTTGGGGAACCCGTTTTAAATACAGCCGCGGAGTGGACGCCCCGATGACAACCAACTCAAGGATGCGCCGTCTTATTAACCCTTCGAGGGCAGGCTCCGGCTTCCTTGCCAGCCCTGACCCGGACCGAAGGGCAGCTGGCCTCTCTCGCTTCCTCTCCAGCAGGAGGCAGGATGCGGTGCTCATGCGAGCAGACCAGGCGCCGAATCCTGGCTCTGTCAATCATGAGTCGTGTGGCCTTGGACCACTTATTTGCTCTCTGAGCCTTGATTTTTTAAATCTGAAAAGTGGAATTGGAGCCCTGGCTGGCGTAGCTCAGTGGATTGAGCACGGGCTGTGAACCAAAGCGTCGCAGGTTCGATTCCCAGTCAGGGCACATGCCTGGGTTGCAGACCATGACCCCCAGCAACCGCACATTGATGTTTCTCTCTCTCTCTCCCTCCCTTCCCTCTCTAAAAATAAATAAATAAAATCTTAAAAAAATGAAGAGAAAAGTGGAATTAACATCTCCTCCCCCCTAGATGTGTAGTGAGGAGTCAGTGTGACAACCACACAAAATGTGGAGGTCAGCACACATCTGGTAGAAAAGATGAAGTGAGCCTGGGGTCCAGGCGAACAAAAGGGTTCAGGAACGGTGGCTGAGAACCGTTCGGGCTGACCACTGGCTCTCGGCTGCTGGACAGAGTTTCTCAGCAGAGCTGACTAAGGTCTCACCCCGAATGGGAGAGGCCTAACGGACTGGCCCTTCCGGGGCAGGAGCTCCGTCCCCTGCGAGCAGACGGGGTTCTGACAGCAGGTGGCGTGCAGCTTGCAAGCCCCCCTGGGCCGAGGGGAGTGTGGGGTCGCAGTGCCCGGATGCGTTTCCTCCAGACACACATGCGAGCTGGCTCTCCAGAGCTGTCAAACCATCCTTCGTGGTGATGTTTGTTTACAGGACGCCTTTCCCAGACTACACAGGGCTGTTGACAGTGAAAACCTGCTGAACCATCGGGGACGCGAACTCATATAACACATTGGTGACTCTGCTTGATTTCTGAAACAATCAAATAAACCTCAGTGTTAAAAGTAGTTCTCTCAGGGTGGTGAGATTAGAGACAATGGCAATACAGGTTTCGTGTCCCGTTGCTTATCGATTTGAATCACGAGCCTCGGGTGGTTGTAGCGGCCCAAGGTCTCTTCTGATCGGAGCCGCATCAGAGGGAGCGGTGTGGGGCGGGCGGGGGGGTCGGGGGCTCCTGGGAGGAGCTGTGAGGGGCAGTCAGAGGGCAGAGAGCAGGACTGGGGGCGGCTCCAGCTGTGTGGAGCAGAGGGCCAGGCAGCTGCTGAAGGGCAGGGTGGGCTTTGCGGGTTCCTCTCTCCGTTTTCTGTTGCCACAACAACACCGCAGGGAACTGTCCCAAGCACGGTGGCACAGAGCGTGGCTGAGTCGGCGGTGCAACCCAGGTGGTGCTCCAGGTCTCAGGCAGGTTCCCTGGAGTGTCGGGGGTCCGTGGCTGTTGGCTGGGTCAGTGCGGCTCTGGCCCCCGTGTCTCTCAAGCCACCTGCTGGCTGGTCCGTGGGTTCTCAGAGCAGACGCAGAGGTGAAGGAGAGGAAGGGGAAGGGCACGAGGCCTCCGCAGGCTGAGGTTTGGCGCTGGTGCACCATGACTTCTGCTGCGTTGCCTTGGGAAAGTAGGTCACAGGTCTGGTTCAGATTCAAGGACCAAGCGGGCAGTGGGGGAGGGCACAGACCCTGTCCCTCCAGTGAGAACAACTGTGGAGTCAAAGGGAAGGTGGCCTGGGTGGGACCGTGCGCCCCAGCCTGAAGCTCACCCAATGTCCAGGCCCCCTTTAGGATCAAGGACCTACATTACAAATATGAAATTTGACACAGGGCTTTGCAAGGAGCCTGGTCACGGGAGGGGTGCTGACTGACGCTTCAGCTCCACCCACCTCAGAGCAAGTCCAAATCCACCTCTTCCTCTTCCTCACTGTGATGAAGAGGTGAGCAGCTTGAGGCCCCCTGAGCAGGGGAGCCACCGTCGTGCGGGTGGCAGAGCCCTGAGAGAAAGCCCCGGCCCTGGCGCCAGGACTCAGGCCGCCGTCCGTCTGCCCGGGGCCGGCGGAGTCCGGCAGAACGCCGCTTCCAGCGGCCCCTCCGTGGTGAGGCTGCGTGCCTGGGTTTTGGCCAGGCCCACTCGGTTTAGATTTCGGTTTCTGTAGGTCTCAGGCGGGCCTTGCAACAGACGTCTCGTGGAGCTTGTGCTCCGGAGTGGGAGAGACCCAGGGGAGGCCCTTCCCACGCGCGAGGGCCTGCACCCAGGAGCAGGTGGGCCCTGACCACGGACTGTCTGCCGTTCGCCAGGCCGCAGTGTCCACGGGAAGGAGCTTGTGCGTTTCTCTGTTTTTTTTTTTTTGTAACCAGGAGAAAAACGAGTCAACACACACACCACATGCATGTACACACAACTCACACGCACACACATGCACATGCAGGCGGCTCAGGGCAGGAGGGATCTTCGGTGGCTGTTGAGTCCCTTCTCTTACTGAGGGAACCGGGAAGTGTGGGGAAGTCAATGGCCAAGCTCAAACGGGGGCCCCAGAGGACCTTTGGGGACACAGGGCCCCCAGAACAGCCCGGCTCTCCTGTGGCCCCCAGAGGCACCCGTGTACAGGAGCAGTCTTGCTGCCACTCAGAGACAACCAGATGATTCTCTGTCCCTGAGTCAAAGGGCAACTTCCCTCGGGCAGGCCGGCCCTGGAAAGCCCAGGGTCAGAGGGCGGGGCCACAGGCAGGCCTGCGAGCCGCTGGGAGGCCATCTGCTTCCTGCCGCCCGTGCCCAAGAAAGGAAAGGCTACCCCCAGACCCCTAGTTTCTTTCAGGGCTGTCATTTTCCCTGGAAGCCAGACACCGTCCCTATTTACAGAAGTGCCGGGGGGGAGGGTGGGCTTACCCAGCCCTGGGGGCCATGGGGGCCGACCAGGCTCCCAGCCTGGATTGTTGATCTTGCAAAGCCAAGACCATGGCCACACCCTGGAAAAGCTGCTTATCAGCAGCTGTGTTTTTCCGTCCAAGTAGCCCTCCAGCTCTCGTGTTCATTCCTGCTTAGGGTGCGAGGGGCTCAGGGCCCTCCTTGGGGCTCAGTGGCTCCTTAAGGTGTGTGTGGGGGGGTGATCCATAGCAAAAGTGGCTCCAGGATTGAAATAAGAAAGAGGCTCTATCTTTTCCCAATGTCTGAGCCCCACCCCGAGGGCTTGCAGGGATCCTGAGGGAGGAGGGAGACAGGGGGTGGGCACAGAGGTGCCAGAAAACGGGGGTAAGACCCCCCAGAGCTGGTGCTTTCTTCTTCCTACCGTAGCAGAAAGATTTTATAAGGTTGGGGGTGGGTGAAGAGTGAGGGACAAGGAGCCCTTGGCATTACTGATAAGTTCCTGGAAGGTTCAGGCTGGGGTTGGCTCTCACCTGGCGGGCTGGTCGCAGCAATGAGAGGTTCTGGTCTTGTCCTAGGACAGAGGCTGAGTCTGCCCCTCAGGCCAGCCGTGGCCCCGTCTTTGAGCCCCTTGCCTTGCAGCCTGGCTTTTGACGCCCCCTCAGCCCCATCTTCATGCCAAGCTCTAGTCTAGAAGGGCTCCTCTGGCTTTTTGACCTTGACCCCAAGTCCTCCTCACCACCATCAAACTCCTCACCTGGGCTCCTGGGAATCTGGCTACACCTGAAATTGTGGCTACACCTGAAATTCTGGGCTTAGGGCTTTGTGTCTGTCGCTCTGGCTCTCCGATGGAGCTGCCGCGCCCCCCTACCCCGCCCTCCCCTTTCCACCAGTCGAGAGGGTTGAGTAAGAGCTGGTCTGACCCGCTGGGTCTGTGCCTGCACTTTCCAGAGGGCAAAGCGGCACCACCTTCAACTTCTCTTTTCAGAAAACCCATTCGTGGCTCTGGGTAGGGAGGTATTTCTTAAAAGCCTTATTCACCATCATTACAGCATGTTGCCCATGACACCTCCTTCCCCTTTTAGTTCTGGTCCACCAGCGGGGACCGGCTGAATGAGGAAGTGAGAGAGTGACAGTGAACAAAAGCAGAAGGGGCTGGAGGATGCAGGAGCGGAGACCGTAGTTGGCGCTCGCTGACCGGCCGGGCCCAGGGGACCCGCGCGAGGGGGAAAATGCACCTGCTGCTGCTCTTCCCCCTCCTCTTCCGGCTCTCAGGTGAGTTCGGGGTCTGGGTCTGACCGCAGGGAGAAGCTCCCGGGTGGCAGGAGGTGGCGGCAGCCACAGAGGGAGGGGTCCAGGAGGTGTCCTGCTGAGAAGAGAATCCCCATTCTAAGTGGCGCCTCTAAGCCCTGAGCCTGTGCGTTTCGCCCACTCGGCTCACCCGGTGTTTCCGTGCCCGCAGCTGCCGAGGCACAAAGGGGCGGCGTGGCTTTCACAACGAACCCGGCGGCGCTGGTGCACAGTTCCTCCTGCCCGGGGGCTGATCATTCAAAGCGCACAGGCGGGTGGGCCCCGCTGGTCTGCGCGGAGGAGCCCTGGCCGCTCGGGAGGCTGGTGCTACTTGCTCCCGGACCTCCTTCGGGGGCGTGCCAGGAGCAAGGGAGAGGGCTTCGGGAAAGAAGCGAAGGTGGAGGGCGCTTCGCAGGGAGGAAAGCAGGAGGTTGCCCAACAGGGAGGGGGAGCGGCTTCTAGGTACTCGGGGTAGAAGGAAATCTCGGAAATTGCTGAGGGGCTGCAACGGTCACGAGGGGGTGGCTTGCTCGGGTGACTGGGAAAGGAGGGGACGGGACGTGGGCAGGGACAGAGGGCTGATGCAAACTTTAGGTCGGTGGATAATATTTTGATTAAAAATCAAGGGGATTTTCTTGAGAGTGTGGGAAGGTATCCGGGCTTGGTCCTTGGGCTTCTCTCTCTGTCTCTCGTCACCCCCTCGGGGATCTCCTCTCCTCCCTCCGCGTTAAATACACACCAGCTGTGTACAGGGGACTCCCGGGGTTGGATTCCCAGCCTGGACATCTTCCCGGACTCCAGACTCTTCTATCCATTTGCCCATCGGACACCTCTGCTCAGACGCTGACATTTCCAGTGTGACCCGACCACACCCCCGCCTTGAATTCCTTTCTCGTCCACCTTTGTGTTGGGACCTTCCGTCCCTCCAGGTGCTCAGGCAGAACCTGGGGGACAGCCACCCCTTCTCTCATATCCCGCAGCGGTCCTTTGAAAACGTGAGCTGGATCCGGACTCCCCTCTACTCAGAACCTTCCAACGATGTCCCTCTTACTCATTGTAAAAACCCAAACTCTCTGCTGAGGCTACGAGGTGCTCACCATCCGGGTTCTTCTACCACCTCGCCGTCCTGGTCTCTTCTCTACTCTGCTCCCTCTGGTTCAACCGCTTCGGCCACCCTGGCCTCTTAGATGTTCTTTGCACCTGCTGGGCACGCTCCTGCCTCAGGGCCTTTGCACTTGCTGTTTTCTTTGCCCAGGATGCTCTTCCCCAGACAGCCACAGGTTCGAGTCCCTCACGTCTTTCGTGCCCCCGTTTCTCCCCGAGGCCTCCACCGATGACCCTAATTACAATAGCAATTCCCTTGCGTTATTTTTCTCCACCGTTGGTCTCCTCCCTCCCTCCACCCTTGCTACATTATAAGCCTCAGGAAGGCAGCGGTTTTTGCGCCTACAGCCGTACCAGGTACGGATTGCACAAACGGTACTGGGCGAGTGAGTGCATGCATCTCATGGGGAGGAAACAGCGCGATTGCTGCACCCACCCCACCCCCAGACCAAATCTTCCTGCTTTTCCAGAACTGAACACCTAAGGCTTTTATCACTGATCAGAGAGGGTGTATGTACATCGCTTGAGGGATGGGAGGTGGTGCAGCCACTTAGGAAAACAATGGACATTCTTCAAAATGCTAAACACATGGTCACCGTGTGACCCAGCAATTCCGCTTCCAGGTAAATAAATACCCAAGGGAGTGGAAAGTGTATGTTCACGTAAAAACTTGGATGCCAACGTTCGTGGCAACATCATCATAATAGCCCGAACGTGGAGACAACCCACCAGGTGCTGCGCACCACCCGATGGGCAGATAAATACGAGGGGGTCGGTCCGCGCAGTGGGACAGTCGCCGGCCCTAAACAGGGGCAAAGCACCGACACAGGCTGCAGCATGGGTGAACCCCCCAAACGTTAAGCTAAGTGACAGAATCCAGACCCCAAAAGGCCACACATCGTGTGAGTTCCGTCTGTAGCAAAGTCCAGAAAATGGAAATTCATGGAGACAGATCGCAGATTAGTCCACTGGGCAGGGACAGTGACGGCTAATGAGTGAGGGGTTTCTTTTCGGGGTGACGAGACTGTTCTGGAATCAGACAGTGCTGATGTTCCCACGGCGTTGCGAACAGACCGAGAACCACCGAGGCGTGCACTTTAACAGGGCGAGCTGCGTGCTATGTGAATCGTGTCTCAGGAAGGAAATGATCGATGAGCAGAGGGGAGAACTGGGAGCAGGGGGTTTGGGGGCTGCCTTTGGGGTGCGTGTGAGGATCTGAGGCTCTGGAAGCGGGTATTCACGGGAGCCAGGCAGCCCTGTACGGCTGTGACCCCTGTGGTTCAATCGTTTGATGCATCAGTCACAGAAATGACGTCGATAGTTGTGCTGTGCGGGAAGCCGGGCTGGTGCCTGGACAGTGTGGGCGGGTGGGATGCTTTAGCTGGGGCGGGCTGGAGGAGCCCTCTGAGGAGGAGACGTCTGAGCTGAGCCCAGAAGGAGAGGAGGAGCCGGCACTTACAATCCGATCCATCGATCCATCGGGGACAGCTTTCTAGGCACAGGAAGTGGCCAGGGCAGGGCTCTGGCATGGAAATGAGCTTGGCCTTGGCGGTTTGAGGGACAGAGGGGACATGTGGCTTTGTTATATGCTTCTGAAAAGCGTGGTGAGTCTGGTTGGAAGGATATTACTGGCTTTTCAGGGGAAAGGGTTTTGCGGGGGGGGGGGGGGGGCGGAATGAAGGGTCCAGGACCGCAGGCTGGTGGAGAGAGAGAGGCTGGAGGTGGCTCGCTGGTGCGGACAGAGAGGAGGCCGACTTTGGGTGACACGTTAGGAGACACTGAGGCAGGGAGCGCACTCGGGGACCGCTTTCCCTCCGAGGTCCCGATGGTGAGCGGTGCTGTGTGAGTGTGCGCGCGTGTGAGCACGTGGTTCGGGTGGACGCAGGCAAAGCAGAAGGGAGGGTGTGTCTGAAGAGAGCTGTGTGCGAATTAGGAACCTGGTCACCGGCGTGAACCTCCGTGTCACCTCTTACTAGCCTCCCCCCAGAACGTCCAATCACGGTGACACATTTCCCCAGAACGTCCAATCACGGTGACACATTCCCCCCGCCCCCCCACTGCTTCCCTCTCCCAAGGAGTTCATTGTGTTGAAAGTGCACAAGAGAAACAACATCAGCCGGAAAGTTCCCACCGCGCTTCACGGCATTCTGTGAAAAAGGAGGAGACTTTTAATTACTCATTTTTTCAGGGAAAACTGAGCTGCCTTGTCCAACTGGAGCTGCTCCACAAGGGGCGGTGGAGAGGGACCAGAGCCCGGGGCGCCCACGGGAGCGGAGACCAGCTGAGGTCCTGGGCGGGGCTGGAGATGCGGCCCAGTCACCGCCCCCCACTCCCGACGCCCCCCCCCCCCCCGGCCGACGCCTGGGGCTCAGCTTCCTCCCGACCTGGAGTCGTTTCCCGAGGTCTCGGCTGTGAGTGAGAGACCGCGCCTGGTGGGGGCGCTGTTCCGTGCAGCTCAGCACTGCCCTCTGTGCCAGGAGGTGCCCTGTTGGGCTGATGGCGAGTGGGCGCCTGGACAGAGGGGCCCGAGCAGCGAGTTACCCAGATGGTTCTAGCGTCAGGCCCCGAACCCAGTGCTCAGCGGAGATGGAGACGGGCTGACCGGGCGGCGGCCCCGGAGGGAGAGGGCGGGGCCATCTGCGTGAGTTTCCCGGTGCTGCGGGAACGAACCGCCCGCAAGTTAGCGGCTTAGAAAAGCACAACGCTCTCGTGTTGCAGTCCGTCGGTGAGGGGTCCGAACATGGGCCCACAGGCCTGTGTGCCCTCTGGAGGCTCAGGGCTAGAGGCCGGTTCCCTGACCTTCCCGGATTCCGGGGTGGGGCCTCACGCTCTGCTCTCTCCCTCCCTGCCACGTCCCGGCTCGGACCCTCCTGCCCCCTCGAGTCAGCACCTCTGTGATCTCCCGGGGTGGTATCCCCAGCCCGAGATGCTTAATTTAATCACACCTTTAACTTAGCAAGTTGGAAAGAGAGACCAGCTGGCTATCTGAAGGAAGGAAGACAAATAAAATACATATGAGAAATCGATAAGATAGAAAATAAAAACAGTAACATTTACCAACAAAATCTTACAACTGGTTTTTAATGCTGGGGGAAAGGACGAGGAGGAGAAGGGGGAGGAGACACAGCGAAGGAGAAAATCTCGTGGTCTCCGTAATCAATAAAGGGAACAGTGCGTGCAACCCAAACGTGCAATTATAATAGCTGCGGAGGTTTTCGTTGTAAAAGGAGACTTTGTAGTCAATCCCAGTGCTGTGTGCCAGACTTCCTGGGAAAAACAACATAAGACAAAACAATAGAACCGATTCAAGAACAATATTCACGCGAAAATGCTTTTAAGCAACCAAAGAAGTTGCCCCAACCATTTGCCAGACAGTTTTGCAGATAGGCTTTTAGGATTCTGTAGAAACAAACACTCCTTCGCTCTGGTCGCGCTCTGGTCTCAGAGCCTGAAAGTGATGGAAATCTGGGAACTGGCGCGTCTCCAGAATCGGACCGACAAAGCCCAGGGCAGTGAAGACAGGGGCCTCGCCCGGGACAGACCTGTGGGGCTGGGCGCTGGTGCCGGGCCCCCAGGGCTGAGGACCTTAGTGTGGCCCGCGCCCTCCTTGCTGCTGCTGTCTCCAGTTACGCCGTGCTCTCAGATCCAGACGGTCCACACCAAGCCCAGGTTTCTGGCTCCTCCAGGAAAACGAAAAGATCTGAAACCACCGGCCCGCTGTGGACGGGGACAACGAAGTGACATGAAACAGGGGCTGAGCCTTTGCAAGAGCCCCTGCTCTCCTCCTGGCCGAGGGCCGCATGACGTCCCAGGGTCTGTCACTGAGGCCTGGTGAGCGTTGTCCTGTTTCATTGTGTTCGAAGGGTTGTTTCTCTTACAGC